TATAATAACAATAAATGATGCATAATTACATGCAAGTAATCCTAACCCTAACCATACAGTAACTGCTTGTAGTTAATTAATATTACTCAGTAATTCATGTATAATTACACTGCAACAAGGACACCTTCAAATAAAGTGTAACCATTTATTTATTTAGATTCATAATGAACTCGTCCGATGGTGTTTATTAAGGTGAATAAAAACATAAGGATAATAATTATCATGATACCGTGATCCTCCACTGTGTCTAGCAAACAAACAGCACATTTAAGTCGAACCTCACACAGCAGACATAACCTTTAGGAACAAAGTGTTTATTTGTAGTCCTAATTTGCAGGAGGACTGCAAAGCTGTATTTACCGTGTACACTTGTTCAAACGTCCTTCATGGGTCTGTTGTGTCACAAAAACCTGAAGATCCAGTTTGTGAGCGGCCGAGCAGCATAAGAGCTCAGGACACTTCAGATCCTCACAGATCTGACTCGCAGCTGCTGAGGAACACAGGATGGCTCATTATAATCCAGTAAGAACTTTCATTCTTCACGGTTACGTTGTAGATTAGCCAGGCTTTGCTGGGATGTATATGTTGAATATATTTCACTGTCCTCTTCAGTCCTTATCATCTCCATCAGACGAGGTCAATCTGGGTGTGTCGGTCAATCCTCAGTAAGATCACACTTTTATTAGTCATTTGCCAGAAGAATCCTGTAAACCTTTTTCATATGGAACACGATGGATTTATGTTCATAGATAGTGATTGTGGTGCAGTGGCTATTACTGTATATATTATAAGAACTAGGGCTAGGCTGTTCATTTGTGTTGTCTTGTGTGCTTCAGTGCCAAACCCACTGACTTTGACTTTCTGGCTGTGATTGGTAAAGGAACATTTGGGAAGGTGAGGCGCGTCTGATGCTGTGTCCCGTATGACTTCACCAATCATTAACGCTGAAAGAAATGCTTGGGGTTGTTTTAAAGGCATAAGTGACCTACACGAGAAAAGAAAATACAGAAATGCTGTTTTATCCAAAACAATATGTGAGATATCATGTCGATTGCAGGTGCTCTTAGCAAAACTGAAAGCTGATGGAAACTTCTATGCCGTGAAAGTTTTGCAAAAGAAAGTTATATTGAAGAAAAAAGAGGTTGGTGTTTATTTATCTATTTTACGTGCAACCAGCTTGTTTTTCCATACAGTGTTTCATATGAAAGATCCAAACACCTCATTGCTCTGATAGTGATAGAATCTAATCTAACTCTGTCCTTTGGAATGTAATTGCTGAACACGATCCCAGTGTGTAATACACAAGCAGTGTGCAAACTGCTTGCAGAGTTTCATTGTTTTAGCCCTGAAAAGCTCCTCTTGAAACTGTAGCATTGTCGCTTGTCTTTTGCTCTGTCCTGGATGGTGCCGGCTCATATCTGTATTCTCTTGTTCACCTCCGTCAATGCTGCGTTTGTGTGCAACAGCAAAAGAATATAATGGCAGAGAGGAACGTGCTGCTCAAGAGTCTGAAACACCCTTTTCTGGTCGGGCTGCACTACTCCTTTCAGACCACGGAGAAGCTGTATTTTGTCCTGGATTACGTCAACGGTGGAGAGGTATGGCAAGAGAGCATCACTGATGAATACAACAAGCATTTCAGAAAAAGTCCAATTGTTTCAAAAACCATTGCATCCGAGAAACTGCGTTAAGCTGCATACAAATGTGACAGATTATCAGAAAACAAACAACAAAAATGCAATATGCACTATGCAGTAGTTCTGTCTGTCTGTCTGTTGCTGCCTGGCCAATCAAAATGCAGGCAGATGAGCATGGGTTGAAGTAGACTAATGATTGGAGAGACCAGAGAGAAGTCACAGTAAGAAAAAAACATGCGTTTATAGATAGGGTGACTTCGATTTCATGCTGACTTAAAAAAAATGAGTGTATATATTTATTTATTATGCATTTATATATTTACATTGCATTGATGAAAAGTGACAGTAAATACATTTGTTCAAATAAATGCTTTTCTTTTGCACTTTTGAGTTATTAAAGAATCCTTTAAGTAAATCAGCATATTAGAATGATTTCTGAAGGATCATGTG